GTGACGTCCAACCCGGAGTCCTTCCCCTGGGTGGTGAACAGCAAGAGTGCTAGCTTCACCGGCTCTCACATCCACTACATCGACTACGATCGCAGCATGCTGGCCAGCTTCATGGACGACGACGCGCCTTCCAAGGCTCAGGGCATGGTAAAAGGAGCAGGCAATGCCGTGAGCAAGGCCTACAACCTGAAGCGGGAGCTTGTGGGGCCACGGAATCGCACGGGCGACGGCCTCCAGCCCACCACTTCCAACGTGCACGAGAGCAACGTGGACGTGAACGGCAATTACATCGTCGGGAGCACCGCCACAGCTCCCAGCAAAGCGGACTGGCTCATGCAGTCCCTCTGCTCCGCGCACCTGGAGGTGAGGCACCAGTGGGGAAATGGCATGGGCGTTGAGGACGACCTCTTCATCACCAACGAAGAGTGGATCTCTTACCCTAGGGACTCCATGCCTATTGGTTTGCCCGTGCATGTCTTGAACCTGGCGACCGGAGAGCTTTGGGCCACAGCGGCTTTCACTCTCGGTGGCCATGAGAAGGTGGTGGAAGTGAACAGCGGCCACAGGGACTACGTGGCCTTCGTGCCTTCAGGCTACAACGGTGCTTTCGGGCTCTCTGAAGACTCTGCTGTGCTCGCCGCCCGCAACGCCGCATATACCAGGACGGACGGCAATCCATACGTGTATCCGCAGGACATCGTGCCTACGAAGCTCTACATCGGCAAGAAGAACACGGACAAGGATGGCAATGCCGAGACCACGGACTTCATGGCCAGGAACGGCTTCGAGTATGGCGCGCTCTATGGCTTCGCGGTGGACTGCAACGCTGTGAATCCTTCGCGAGACAGCTGGCACAAGTCAGCCTCTGCTGGTGACACCGTGACGGGTGCCTTCTACAAGCTTCGTTGGCAGGCGCAGCGGGGTGTGGTGGAGGGCTTCGAAAAAGACGGAAGCTGGGAGTTCCAGGATGCTCCCGAGGGCGCTCCGGACGGCTGGTGCTTTTGGACTTCCGACGGCAAGGACAGTCGTGGGGCCAAGACGGAGCACGTGTCGCCAGACCCCAGGGGCGGCCAGCGCGTCTTGCAGGGCTCCACGGCCGGCTACTTCGGCATCTACGATTTCCAGGACCTGCCCACGCTTTTGTCAAGCGGCATGCCGACCTCCATCCCGGCGACCTACACGGTGCATCAGCCCGAGTCCGACGTCGTCGACCTCATTGAGCTGGGCGGCGCTGGCCTCCGTGCGGACGGCAACAACCAGACCATGATGCACGACAGGAGCAGGGACAAGACCACTTTCGAGGACCCGACGGAGC